GAAATAAAATAAAAAATGTAGTTCCTTGGGCACACGAGTCACATTTCAAGAGCTGACTAGCTGCACGTGGCAAGTGGCCACCAGACCGGACGTTGGTGTCGTCATAGGACCTGCTCTGGGCAGCACTGCTCTGCTCGGGGTACCTTTGTATTTTGCCAGGACATTTTGGACCCAGTTCTCCCCAGGTCTTCTCGAAAGGCCTGTCTGGAAGCCTCAGCAGCAGGTCAGACAGACAGGCTTCAGTGGGGAATCCCGACTGCCTCCCCTACGTTTTGCATCACTTGGTTCGGCTAAGGGCCTGGTCAGGAACGTGAGACTGGTCCTTTCTTGGGCATGTGAGGGGGTGCGAAGACTAAGGGAGGTGATGCAGGTCTAGCGTTTGCAGGCTGCTGTGCAGCATCATCACTCTGTAAATGGCAGCGGGCTTTATTATTTTACAGGTGACAAATGAGGCCCAAAGAGGAGACGGGACATGGCCGGGAGCACTGAGCTGATAACGGAGGCCCAGAATGCCAGCCCGCATCTCTTGTCTCACCTCTGCTGTTCCTTCTGCGCAGGAGACAAGCTGGTATGAACATGCTGAGGAGGAGCTGGCTGTCTGCCCAGGCACAGGCAGGATTGGCCTGGGGCAGAAGAGCTGACGGACGTGAGGTCCAGATGTAGGGGCCCTGCCAACCCCCTCTTATTTAGAATCTCTCTAGGGCCTTAGAGTTTAGCTACTCCCTACCTCCTTTCGAAGCTAGAAACTCAGGAAAGTGCTTTGTTGGGGCCCAGCAGAGAACTCTGGAGCCTCGAGTGCCTTATGAAGTAGTTCCAGAATGAAGCAGTTCTTGGGACCTTCCAGGAAACACTGACATCTCCAGGAAGCCCACCCTGATTTCCTCACATTGCCTATCTCCCCCTCACTTTTGTTCGAATCCCCAGCTCCCCTGCACCTCTCCGTGGTAGGAACTACAGCTTGCTTCCCACAGACCAGGAAATCATCACCTTTTTTGTGCCAGAAACATTTCAGCTAGAGGTTAGCAAAAGTAAAGATATGACTTTTTTCTCCATCCCCAGTTCAAAGACCCACTGAATTCCATCCATCGGACTGTAGAGGTCATTTCCAGCCTCTCTGACCCCTGTCTTACCCCTATCTAGTCTTGTGACTCCTGTGAGCTCCAGGCCTGGAACATAATAGGTACCTTGTATGTGCCTTTTAGGGTGAAAATGGGTCTCGCAGGTCTGCTGTGAGACTTGCCCCAGCTGGGGATGAGCCAGCAGGTGGGTGACCAGATGCTTCCCCAAGGAGGAGACACAGGTGCCGGAAAGCCTCCCAGGGCCTCCTGCTTCCAGCATCCGTGTGAAGCTGGGCCTCTCCCTGCGGAGGAGGAAGCTGGTTCCAAGCTGCAGGGCTCCGCAGGATTCTTCGGGCCAGTTTATGCTGGGCCACAGGGTTTCTGATCAGCCTGTTCAAGACACCACAGGGCTTGCAAAGCCTGGGGCTTTGGGCCTGGTCTGGGGACTGCCAGCGACATCCCCTGTTTGGTCCCAGATGGGCATGGCCGTGTGCCCCACCCGCCGCCCCCCATCACCAGCCCTGTCTAGCTGAAGTTGCATGACAGATGGGCCATTTGCTTCTGGCTGGGGCTGGAGTGGTCGCCCGCAGCCTTGTAGAAAGGCTATAATTAGCCGAGAGTTCTGGATGGGATTGCATGCTCTCCCTGACAGTTAATTTTATACTCAAATGTGAACATAAACTGATGTCATCAGAGATGTAAATATCATTGGAAATCTCAACGTTCCTGGAAGGATACGGCTGCCTCTCCCCATGCCCACGGCCCCTTGAGCACTTGAGTGAGGAGCCCAAGCAGCCTGTGCTTTGTGGGAGCCTCCTCGGGGCTTGTCTGGCTGGACCAGGGAAGCAGGTGTGTGATGGCTCAGTTTACACAGTGCGGGAGGAGTCGGGATGCTTGGGTTTGTGTTCGCCACTGGAACTTTTCCTATGGCTTTAGTGGTCTGGGAAGGTTGCAGGGCTGACCAGCAAGGAGAAGGCGATGCTTTGCACCAGGAGGGAGAGCAATCAAAGGAAGTGTTGTTTCCTGCGGGCAAGGCCATCCTGGAGTGGGTCCGAGGCTCTAGGGAGCTTGTAAAAATAGAAGAAGCCACTTTATGCCTTTATGGAGAGGGCTGGGGTCAGTTCTACTCTGGTGTTTTGGAGATGGTTTCCAAAGCAGGCTACCTTAGCCCAGAAGCATGGCCTCAGGCAGGGGCACAGGCTGGGAGCCCAGAGATGTTAGGGCCCCAGGCCCTCCTGTCCGGAAGACTTTTTTTTTCTTTAAAACAGGAAACACAAAATTCTCAGAAGTATAAGGAATCAATTCTGAAAATATTAAGTCTTGTTAGGTCAGTGACAGCATAAGAATGACATTTTTCATCCAGACAGAGGATAAAACCCCACCTCTGTCACCTGCACCTACGCTGTGTCCTTGCATATTTAATTCAGTCCCTGCCTGGGCTCTCAAGGCTTACGTCTGTCTGTCTGTCTGTCCGTATGGGGTCTTTTTTAACCATGATCTTCAGCTCTGGGGTGGAGGGATCTCTGGGCTCAGCGTCTGGTTCAGGGTTAGGGTTGAGCGAGTGATTCCTTAGAAGTCTGGTAATTCAGAAGGGGGAGATGGGGCTTTTTTTTACAGCTGCTTGCTCTTGTTCTAGAGGACCCACAGGGCTTAGGCCAGCCTTGAACAATGATCTCACCTTGTTCTGGGTTTTGGAGCATGAACTGACCAGATAGCCTCTGGCTGATCTTGCTCTGTCAAAGGTAGATTTTACTTCCTGGGATCATCATTGTCTTGTAGAAAGTTGTGTGTGTGTGTGTGTATGTGTGTGTGTGTTCTGCCTTATAAATTTAAACATTCATCCAAGTGGGTACTTTTGATGACATCATTTCATGCATGGTTTTCCTGATATGGTCAACTTGTCCCGGGGCGACAGCTTCCTGGCCATCCTCTGTTATCCCATGTTTCTAAGTAAGCTCATTCTGTTTGGCTTTTGGCATCCTGGCCACTTGTCAAAGCTTTGGAGAAAGCAGGCACTTCCCTTTACCCAGGGCGGTCTTAGTACTCTTCAGAAGGAAGTCAAGGGGATCTATTTTGGGGGCACATTAGAGCCAATTTAAGGCCAGTGAGGAACTGGAGAGGTGGACTCCTTTGTTTTCTGGCTGTTGACTCTAGGGTATCTCACCAACATCCTGTTGGTATTACTCCTCACTTCCTTTCCTCGGACCTTAGCTGGCTGTGCCGTGGCTCTCGTTACTGTCCCACGCCACCTTCTCCACCATATCTGGCAATGTGTCCTTGCCCTCAGGAAGGTGTGGCCCGGAAACTCAGAATCCTTGGACAAGCAGGAGACGGGGTACACAGCGTCAGACTCAAGCCCAAGGGAAGTCCGGCACGCATCCATTCAGTACACATTGATTGTAAGCACCGACTGTACTTCCTAAATGTCAGGAACTGTCATGGTGCTGGGGATGCCCCAAACAGTTGGAAAATCCCTCCTGACATGGAGCTTAGAGTCTCTTGGGGGAAGACAAACAATTACAAAGTAAAAGAAGAAAGCTGCTTGTTAAATACTGGTCAGGGCAGAGGAGAAAAATGAAATGGGAAATGTGATCGGGAGTTTCAGGGGGAAGGATTTTCTACTTTTAAATAAGATGGTCCCGGGAAGGCCTCATAAGGCAGCTGACAACTGAGCAAAAGACAAAAGGGAGATGAAGGGGTGAGCCATGTGGATGTCAGGAAGAAGAGCATTTTAAGCAGTGGGAACAGCCTGTGCAAAGGCCCTGGGGTGGCGCCCTGAGTGTGTTCCGCCAGCAGTAAGAGCCCAGTGCTGCGAAAGTCGAGTGAGGGAGGGAAGGAAGTGAGAGGTGAGCTCAGACAGGTTGTGTGGGCCTGTCATCTGTGGTTAGGGTTGTGGCTTTCATTCTTGGCACACAGAGAACCAGCCTGCTCTGATTTGGGTTTGCCTGGTCACTCTGATGTGGAGAATGGGCCGAAGGGGGCCAGTCAGGACACTGCAGTGGGATCCCAGGGCGGCAGTGTAGCCCCAGACTCGTCTGAGGCTTGGTAATGGTGTCAGCTGATAAAACTCCCTGAAAATTTAGTACGAGACTTTGAGGCGGAGAGACAAGAGGGGCCCTCCAAGGGCTTTGTGACCTGGTTTTTCCTGACAAAGTGGGACTCAGTCATCTTTCCACTGCTGGGAAAGTTGATTAACAAGGGATTTGACTTAAAAATCCCCTCAAAATTCCTCCTACGCTACCCTTCCACCTTCCCGATGGTCCTCCTGCCTATATATTCCACATTCAGGGTGCTGCGTTTAGCAGCTCGGAAATGTCCCCGGGGTGACCAGCCTGTGTATGAGGCATCACAGGGCCCCAGGCTCGCCGGTACTTTCCTCTAAAGGGGTTCTGTGCCAGTTTGCTCGGGCTGCCCTAACAAAGTGCCACAGCCCGTGTAGCTTCAGCCACAGAAATTTATTTCCTCACAGCTCCGGAGGCTAGGAGGCCAAGATCAAGGTCTGGCAGCGTTGGTTTCTCCTGAGGCCTCTCTCCTTGGTGTGCAGATGGCCTCCTTCTCCCTGTGTCCTCACATGCTCTCCCCTCTGTGTGTGTCTGTGGCCTAATATCTTCTTCTTATAAGGACACCAGTCCTATTGGATTGGCTCCAGAGATGGGTTTTCCCGGATTATATGACCGCATTTTTAACTTCATTACTGCTTTGAAGGCTCTATCTCCAAATATAGTCACATTCTGAGGTACTAAGCGGGGAGGGGGGGTGTTAGGAGTGCAGCGTCTGAACTTTGGGGGAGCACAATTCAGCCCATAGCAGGTTCCCTCATGTACGGTCATCTGGGGTGAGCCCCCCGGTGACAGGCACCGTAGCCCCCAGACGAACTCTTTGTAGGATAATCAAGTGACTGCCAGTCTTTCTTCTCTCTCACTCCCTGCTTTCTTGCTGCAGCTGATTGGAGCCTTGGTCCTGTCGGTGGGAATCTATGCAGAGGTGGAACGACAGAAATATAAGACCCTTGAAAGTGCCTTTCTGGCCCCGGCCATCATCCTCATCCTCCTGGGTGTCATCATGTTCATTGTCTCCTTCATTGGCGTGCTGGCTTCCCTCCGTGACAACCTGTGCCTTCTCCAAGCTGTGAGTGGGCCCCATGTACCCCTGAGCTGGTGGTCAGGGGGGCGGTCCTTAGAGCACCCCGGAGAGCTGCGGAGATTGCCCCGGGGTCCTTGGGCAGCCCATTTTTTTTCAGTCCTTGCCTCGAACCAGACTTTCTAGAGGGTTTCATGGATCAGCCTACCTGTTTACCTCGGCCCAAGAGAGACCAATCCACTTCCACTTTTGCATGTCAAGACTGATTTGAATCCTATTCTTCTTATTTAAACCTTGCATTGGTCTGGCCTCTCAATTGCAAGTGGGAGAAACCACACTGGAATGAGAGCAAGTAAACCCCAAAAACGTTGGTGGTGAGTCATTGGCTCACATCATCAGCAAACCCACACTGGGACCAGGGGTGTAGATGATGGTGCCCTTGGGCGCGCTCTCTTTTGCCGCCTCCCAGGCCTCATGCTCTCTTTGCAATAGTCACCAGCAGCCTCAGGCTAATGGTCTTTATAGCTCCGGATTCGGGGAATCTCTCCTGGTAACCTCTGGCCCAAGTCCCAGGACTCCAATGGGCCTGCTTGGGCCAAGTGCCTGCCCTGGGGTCAACCCCACCCTTACTTTCTGTGAAGTAAGGAATGGCTCCCCAAAGCTGGGTGGGGGGCTGGGTTGGCAGATTCACTCTGCACCCACATGTGTGTTTGACCTCACGTCACCCCTCAGGTGGGAAGCTCCTAAAAGCCCTTACAAGCAGGGTATTGGTGCTGGCTGAGGCTGGAAGTTGCTGGCATCAGTTTGGACAATGGCTGCCCTGTGATAAGGGACAGGGGCAGGGGTATATATCCTTCAAGCCTCAGACATCACATCATCCACTCTGGGGGGTCTGGGAAGCGCTTCGGAGGGGCTCTGCGGGCAGAGCTGGAGGTGCTACCCTAGCCTACCCATTAGGCCAGGCCTGCCTCTGGGTCAGCTGCAGTGGGGACCAGCTGTCCTTGTGGCGGGGCTGTGATGGGAGGGGGTGTTTTTCCACCCAGACTCTGCTGAGTTCCCCTGAGACGAACCTCAATAGCGATCTGGCCTGGACAGCTGAGTCACCCTTCCTGACCACTGATTGGCTCCAGAGATGGGTTTTCCCGGGGAATATCGGTCCACATCCTGTGTCCTCAAGGGAAGAAGGAGCAAAAGGCCCAGGAGCCAATAAGAGCTCCAGCAGACTTGACCTCAGAGCAAATGGTGCTTCGCTTGCCCCTCTAGGTGAATCTCTGAATTTTGTTTTTCAGTTTATGTACATCCTTGGGATTTGCCTCATAATTGAGCTCATCGGTGGCGTGGTGGCCTTGATCTTCCGGAACCAGGTGGGCCTCTGACGCAGGTGTCAGCCACATGTGTATGCTGAGCACCCACTGTGTGTGCCTTGGGCTATAAACTAGGGGTGTGCGGAGAGCAGGGTAGATAATTCCTGCGGAATGTCCATTCTGCTGGGGAGATGGGCACTGAACAAGTAGACCAGAGAACAAGAACACAGAACAGGTGACAGGTGAGTGCCTGGGGTGGATGAGGGAATGATGAAAGAATGAAAAGGAACCTACCAGGTGAGGGGCAGGGGAAGCGGAGGTCCAGGCAGAGGGAACCACTGAGGCAGAAAGGAGCTTGGCAGGTCTGTGGGCCAGCATGCAGGCCACTGGGCTGAAGTGGGTGAGTGATGGGGAGGGACAGAAGGCAAAGTTGGACAGGCCACCAGGGCAGATCTCGTAGGTTTTCATAGGCCATGGTTTGGGGGCTCGGAATTTTTTCTAAAGGTAGTAGGAAGCCTTTGGAGAGTTTTGCAGGAAAGTGATGTGATCTGATTTAGTTTACTCGCTGTTGAGTGGAGAATGGACAGTAGGGAGTCAGGGGGGCTGTGGAGGGGCCAGTTGGAGGCTGTTGTCTAGGAAGGAGGGGATGACATCTTGGCCCTGGAAGAGTTGGCAGAATCAGGGCCCCTTTGAGCTGGCAAGGTTCTCAGGGCTTCTAGTCTCCAATCCTTCTATTGCAGGCTATGTGCGCCTCATACCGGCTGTGTGACCTTGGGCAAGTCATTTAGCCTCTCAGATCCTCAGGCTCCCAGCGGATTATGAATCCTAGCTCACTGGGTTTTGGGTGAGGATTTGATGACAGAATGCATGTGAGGGACCCGGTGTGGTTATGGCCCCCAGTGGACCTTCGTTACCTATCAGCTCCTCTGTCCCGAAACCCGGAGAAGAGAAGTGACTTGTCCAAGGTCCCACAAAGAACCTAGTGGCTGTGTGGGGTTGACTTCCAACCCAAGGCTCTGTCATTTCTCCCATAATGTCATTCCTTTGCCTTCATCCCAGCTTTGGTGTTGGAGGTGGGACTTGGGGAGCAGAGTGAGTTTGAGTAAGTTCTCTTTGGTCTGCCGCCACCCCACCCCACCCAGACAGCTCGGTTCCTGGTGCTCTCGGACACTGCTGCTGAGCAGGTGCTTGAGGGCTGTGGCCCCATTTTCTCTCTTGTCAGAGGTTGCGCCCAGGGCAGCCGTCGCTATCCCAGACACAGGGGTGTACAGAGCCCTCCAATGACCTGGTGTTTGACCCCTGCCAAACTCCTCATGGGTGCAGCTGGATCCCGGCCCGGCGAGGGGAGCAGAGGAGCCCCTTAAACTTAGGCTTGTCTACACCCCTGGAATCCAGGGGTCTTCTTCCCATTTTAGGAACTGCAGGAGAGGGGTAGAGAGATTCCCATCAAATCAATGGAGCCAGTGAGGCACAGAGAGGTTAGGAAGCCCTCCCCACAGCACACAGCAAGACAGAGTCAGCTCTTCGGTTTCAGTTCTTTTTTCCTTCCCCCCAGCTTTATAGAGGTGTAATTGACAAGTAAAATGGCAACATATTTACATGCACATGTACAATATGATGATTCGATTTACATATACATTGTGAAATGATTACCACAATCAAGTTAAATAACACATCCATCACCTCACACAGGAACTTTTCTTTTAGTGAGAATGCTCCAGATCTATTCTCAGCAAATTTCAAGTACACAATACAGTGTTATTAGCTAGAGTCACAATGCCATACAGTAGATCCTCAGAACTTATTCACCGTATAACTGTGAGTTTGTACCCTTGGCCAGCATCTCCTTATTTCCTATCCCTAGCCCCTGGTAGCCACCACTCTACTCTCTGATTGTACGGGTTTGACTTCCTTTTTCTTTTTTAGGTTCCACATACAAGTGATACCCTGCAGTATTTGTCTTTCTCTGTCTGGCTTATTTCACTCAGCATAATGCCCTCAAGGTCCATCCTTGTTGTCACAAATGGCAGGATTTCCTTCTTTGTTTATGGCTAAATAATATTCCATTGTGTGTGTATGCAATGCATATATATACAATATAAAAATAAAAATATATAAATATGTTAAATAAATAAGTATATTTCCTTATCCATTCATCTATCAATAGACACTTAGGTTGTTCCCATATCTTGGCTATGGTGAATAATGCTACAGCATATCCTTTGGATATATTCCCACAAGCGGGATTACTGGTTCATATGGTATAGTTCTATTTTGAAATTTTGGAGGAACTTTCATAGTGTTTTCCATACTGGTTGTACTAATTTATATCCCCACCAACCGCGTACAAAGGTTTCCTTTTCTCCCCACTAGTATTTGTTATCTCTTGTCTTTTTGGTAATAGCCATTCAAATAGGCATTAGGTGATATCTCATTGTGGTTTTGATTTGCATCTCCCTGATGATGAGTGATGTTGAGCATCTTTTCATGTAACTGTTGGCCATCTGGATTTCTCCTTTGGAAAAATATCTATTTAGTTCCTCTGCCCATTTTTAATCAGATCATTTGCTGTTGTCATTCAGTTATAAGGTCTCCTTATACATTTTGGATATTAACTTCTTAAAAGATATATGGCTTACAAATATTTTCTCATTCTGTAGGTTGCCTTTTCATTTTTTTTGTTTCTTTCCTTTGCTGTGAAGAAATTTTTTAGTGTGATGTGGTCCCACTTGTTGATTTTTGCCTTTGTTAACTGTGCTTTTGGTGTCAGATCAAAAAATCATTGCCATGACCAATGTCTGGGATTTCTCCCCCTATGCTTTAAGAGTTTTATAATTTCAGGTCTTATCTTTAAGTCTTTTATCCATTTTGAGTTGATTTTTGTGTATGATGTAAGATAATGGTCCAATTTTTTCTTTGGGCATGTGGATATCCAGTTTTCCTAGCACCATTTAAGAGATTATCCTTTTCCCATTGTGTATTTTTGGCATTTTTATAGAAAATTAGTGGGTATGACTGGGTTTATTTCTAGGCTCTCTATCCTATTCTGCTGATCTGTATGTGTGGGTTTTTTGGGTCAGTACCATACTGTTTTGATAACTGTAGCTTTATAATATAGTTTGAAATCAGAAAGTATGATTCCTCCAGCTTTGCTTTTTGTGCACAAGATTGCTTTAGCTTTTTGGGGTCATTTTGTGTTTCTACACAAATTTTAAGACTTTTTTTTCTATTTCAGTGAAAAAAATGCTTTTGGAATTTTGATAGGTATTGCATTAAGTCTGTAGATCACTTTGGGTAGTATGAATAGTTCAGTAATATTAAGTCTTCCAGTCCGTGAACAAGGGATATCTTTCCCTTTATTTGTGTTGTCTTCAATTTCTTTCATCAGTGTTTTGTGGTTTTCAGTATATAGCTCTTTCACTTCTTTGGTTAAACTTATCCCTAAATAATTTATTCTATCTGATGCTATTGTAAATGGGTTTGTTAATTTATTTTTTGAATAGTTCATTGTTAGTGTATAGAAATGCAACTGATTTTTGTAGGATGATTCTTGTATTCTACAACTTTACTGAATTTGTTTATTGGTTTTAACAGATTTTTGCTGGAATCTTTAAGATTTCTTTTTTTTTTTTTTTTTTTTTAAAGTAGGGTCCATGCCCAGCATGGAGCCTGACGTGGGGCTTGAATTCACGACCCTGAGATCAAGACCTGAGCTGAGATTAGGGTCTGATGCTCAACCGACTGAACCACCCAGGCACCCCTGGGGTCTTTAAGATTTCTATATATAAGATCATGTGTACAAACAGAAAATTTTACTTCCTTTCTGATTTGGATGACTTTTATTTCTTTTTCTTGCCTAAGTTCCTTGCTCTGGCTGAGGACTTCCAGGACCAGCTGAATAGAAGTAATGAGAGTGGACACTTTTCTCTTCCTGCTCTTAAAGGAAAGGTTTCACTTTTTCACCATTGAGTATGATGTCACCTGCAGGTTTATTATGTTTGGCCTTTGTTATGTTGAGGTGCATTCTTTCCATACCTGATTTGTTGAGCATTTTTGTCAGAAAAGGGTATCACATTTTGTCAAATGCTTTTTCTGCATCTATGGAAATGACCATATGATTTTTATCCTTCATTGTTATTGTGGTGTATCACACTGATTGATTTGCAGCTGTTGAACCATCCTTACATCCCAGGGGTAAATCCCACTCAATCATGGCTATGATCCTTTTAATGTGCTGTTGAATTTGGTTTGCTAGTCTTTTGTTGAGGATTTTTACAGCTATGTTCATCAGAGATACTGGCCTATAATTTTCTTTTCCTGTAGTGTCTTCATCTGGCTTTGGTGTCAGAGGAGTGCTGGCCTCGTAATGATTTTGGAAGCGTTTCCTCCTCTTCAATATCTTGGAAGAATTTGAAAAAGATTAGTATTAATTGCTCCTTAAGTATTTGGTAGAATTCATCAGTGAAGCCATCTGGTCCTAGAGTTTTACTAGTTTATTAGTTCCTGACCTGTTATTGGTCTGTTCAGATTTTCTATTTCGTCATGACTCAGCTTTAGTAGGTTGTATGTTTCTAGGAATTTATCCATTTCTTTCCGGTTACCCAGTTTGGTGGTGGATAATTGTTCATCGTAGTCTTTTATGATCCTTTGTATTTCTGTGTTATCAGTTGTGATGTCTCCTCTTTCATATCTGCTTTTATTTATTGGAATTGTCTCTTTTTTTCCTAGTCTAGCTAGAGGTTGTTAGTTTTATTTATCTTTTAAAAAAATCTACTCTTAATTTTGTAGATATTTTCTATTGTCTTTCTAGTCTCTACTTCATTTATTTCTTCTCAGATTTTTGTTATTCCCTTCCCTCTACTAACTTTGGACTTAGTTCGCTCTTCTCTGTCTGCTTTCTTGAGGTGTAAAGTGAGATTTTTCATTTGAGGTCTTTCTCTCTTTTTTTTAAGGTAGATGTTTACTGCTATAAACTTCCTTCTGAGAACTAAGCTTTTTGCTTTTGCTTTTGCTGCATCCCCGAAGTTTGGTATGTTGTGTTTCCATTTTCGTTGGTCTCAAAATATTCTTTTATTTCCCTTTTTCTTTGCCCCATAGTTGTCTTTTCAATCTAGTGTCACTACTTGCTCCTCCCTTTTCCCCTTTTCTGTCTTTCAGGCCATCCTCTCTGAGCTGGAAGATCAGGGTATTGGTTCATGTCTCCGCAGCCTGAGGGGGGAGAGGTGTTTGTTCCATTTGTCCATGGGGATGCGTTTCTGTGCAGTCATTGGGCTCCCAGCCAGCCTGTGGCTTTCCAGAGGTTTTGGATTAGTGCTTTCCTAGCTAGAGCTCAGGTCCAGGTTGTGGTCAGCAGCATCGATTGTTTTAGTAAACAATCCCCTAAATGAGCAGCAGTTCTGGTTTCCAGCATGCTCTCACAAAGGCGGGCTGATTTGTCATTTCCCAGTCCCCCGTAGGTCAGTAGTGGTCATGATACCAACCGCTCCTTCGTCCAGCTGGGGGTCTGAGCTCTCTTGTCCTCACAGCTGAGGATGCCATGGGCTGAGATCAGGGCTGAGAGCTTCTCATTATCTCATTATCCCCAAAGCCTGAGGATTGGATGGGGAGTCCCCTTACAGGGTCCTGTCAGGGGAGGATCTCTGTGTGCAGCCCAGGAAGGACCCTCACCATCAGGGCTCTCGGCTCTTCGGAGGCTCATCATGAGCCATGTTCTCATATGCCTGTGATACATAATTCAAAATAAATGAAAAATGAGATATAAAACTATAAATGCAGTAAGATCTCTACCATGAAAAAAAAAATAGGCCTGAAAAACCTGGAAAAAAATAGAAATATTCTCATATTAACTCTTAATTCCTCTGAGAGGTGGGGCTAGGGTGATTCTTATTTTCTCCTTGATATTTTTTCCCTGGCTCCCAAATTTTCTCTTTCTTATAATCATGGGGGAAAATACCATATACAGAAAAATAATGTCCCTTCTAACTCTAATGTAAAATACGAGACTGGCCAGTGCTGAGGATGGCTGTTGACGGCAGCAGGAAGGGGCAGCGTAAGGTGGAGAGAAAAGGTGGGGAGCAATGAAGGTCAGCTGCAGGAGGAGGTGAGTCCCCAGTTCTACTTTCTCCTCACCAAGAGGAGAAGAAACATTTCTCTGAGCCCTACTATAACAGTCTGGCTCCACAGGCTACCTGTTAAATCTAAGAATCCACTTGTGGTGCCAGATGAGAACAAATTAGGCTAATGACCTCACGCCCGGTTCTCGGGAAGGGGCACAGGCCATGGCCACCGCTGGCAACAAGACATCAACAGAACACCTGGGTATAAAGACAAGACTCTCCATCCCTGACTCTGGGCGGGGTTTCCACTATCGGGCACGACCTGACGGTCAGACTCAAGTGGCTTCTCTGTTGTACAGAGTCTAGCAGCTGTGCACTGGGAAGCTGGGCACAGAGCTCCAAGGGCCCGGGCATCAGAAATGTAGTGTCCTGACCCCAGCCTGTGCGAGAAGAGCCTAGTGACCGCCACAACTGTCTGGGTCTCACCTTGACCTACCAGTACTCCAGCTTGTTCTGGGGCCTCTCTTGAGGGTGCAGGGGTGTTGGAAGAGGGCAGTACCTGCCCACGTATCCCCAGTCAGGCAGAGCCGAGCGGGAGACCCAGAGGGTGCCGGGAGGTAGCTGTATGTCTGTACCCCCAGCCCAGGCCTCTTGGCCTCTACCTTCCCTCCACTGCCAAGGCAGGTGAAGAGTGGCCTCTTTCCTGGCCTTAATCAGAGGATGCTGGTCATACCCAACACCAGGCCACAGAACAGCATCCGGCCTGTTTGTTTTATCACGACACCAGCACTAGCCGGTTCTGGACATGCCCCTGAAGCCAGGGGCAGGGAGAAAGGAGATGACACCGTGGCCTGCTTGACGGAGCACGTGGACACACATATATCCTGCCCACCCGGAGCAAAGTAGAGGAGATTCTGCACTGAGACCTGGCCAGACTCTCTCCCAGCTGCTGTGCCGCACCGTGGACAACGTGTGCGACTGACAACTGGAGCCCCAAGTCCCTGCGAAGCTGAAGCAGGACCTCCTCTCCCTCTCCCCCGCCCCCACCCCGGATCAAACCTGTGACTTTAGGCCTGGTTGGTGGAAGCATCTGGCAAATGTTCCAAAGAACCTTGTAGCCCTCTCTCCTCCTTTATTCTTGCTCCCTGGGTTCTCTTCAGGCTTTGGTTGTTCGACTGAGCCTGTCTCAGTACTGGAGGCGAGAGGACGCGTCCCCACAGTCTGGGGCACTGAGGGAAGCCCAGAGATGCGGGCTCGGCCCACGTGCAAGGGAAGGAAGGACGTTCTAGGCTGAGCACCCCTTCCACATTGTGAGAACCGGGCTGGTATTGGTGTCAGCGGGGCCTCTGCAGCCTTGGGTCTCAGGGAGAGAGCCACGGAAGCGCCATCCCTGGAGGCCAGGAGGAAGGCTCCCCGGCCGCCCTTCCACTCCTCCCTCCTCCCCCTGCTCCTCAGCCTCCAGGCCCGGGGGAGGGGCTGCCATATGCCCCAACCCCTTGATGCCTCATTCACTTAAAAACACCAAGTCCCTCTGCCGGAAGCTGTGCGGCAGAGGCTTTGGAGAGCTTTAAAATTAGATTTAAAAGAAAGAACTAGAAAGGACGGTTCTTTGCAGCTTGCCTCTGGTGGTTTAAACAATGGGCTCTGAAAATCCTGTGGCCTTTGATGTTTGCTTACGCTTTGCTTAGTTTAGCCAGGCCATGTGGCCCCTGTGAGGCCATGCCAGCCTGGCGAGGAAAGGTGGTTTTCTCACCCTAGTTGGAGCTAGCCCTGCTGGTGTGAGCTGGTTTCGAGCAGGGCGGGGATGGCACTGGGGGTTTGGTCTCCGAGGGGCAGAGGATCCCTGCTGTGCCCCACAAGGCACATCCTCTGAGTGGCTCCCCCAGTCGTAGAACGTAGCTGAACATAGCTGAGCACTTCGCAGTTAAATTCATGAGCTGGGCAGCCTGCTTGTCTCACTGGAGTTTCTCATCCATCCCCAGCCCCATCACGGCACCAGGACCACCTAAGTATCCTCATATCTCTGGTATATACATGCGCGCGCGCGCGCACACACACACACACATGCAGGAGAGCACAAGAGCAAGCCTGATCCAAAGAGGTCCCTGAGGGAGCTGGGGCAGCTGCTGTCCATGGAGCCTGGGGCCATCTGTTCCTCCTGCCCATTCAGAGGGGCCTCCAGCGGGGCCCCCCTTCCCTGTAGGGACCCAGCTCAGCTTACCAGATGGGAGGCCTGATTTTCGCAGAGGCCTTTTTGGAGTCAGCATGTTTGGAAAGTACCCAGAGACTGAGTTGGTCTGGGGAGAAAGGTCAGAGCCGCTTACTGAAGAGGGAGGGAGAGCCTTTCCCCACCGGGCCACTGGGCATCCCCTCTGCTGACCTTTCCCGGGACCTCTTGCTCTCATCCCCTGGCCCCCCATCTCCAACCCTGGGGGAGTCCTGGCATCTCTCTGCCAGCAACCAGTGGTCAGATCGCCTCTCCAGGCTGCAGGGTGTTTGTGAGGGGTCCGAGGCTAGGGGCTGGCTCTTACTTGGGAGGCTGCTTCCACCTCAGGAGGCCTTTTGGACAAGACTTGAGGCCTCGGTTTCCCTTGGGATTAGCCATTTTTCACTGATGATGTGATGGGTATGAAGCAGTCCTGTAGGGTATATGTCTCCAGGAAAAGGAGAGAAAGATCTATAATAATACCATGGCCTACCATGTGCCTGGCCCCTTGCTAAGCACATTTGTAGCTTTAGTTTATCTAAACTCAAATCTCTCCAAGGCAGAGGTTATGTTCCCATTTGGCAGGTAAGGAAGTGGAGGCTTGGCAGCTAAATGAGGTGTCTAGGCCCGGGTGGCTGCTGGAACTGTTCTTGACCACGAGGCTTGGTGGCCCCTCTCAGCCTTGTCTCTGACCCTCAGCGCTGGTAGTTATCTCAAAGATAGGCCTGCAGGTTTGGTTCACAAGTGGGAAACCGAGGCTCAGAGACGGGAGGTAGCTATGATGGGGCCTGCAGTGGCAGGACCAGGCCTGGAACCCAGGTCCCTGTTTTCCCAGTGGCGCCCGCAGGCGCCTCCCCCGGGGATCGTCTGGTTCCAGAGCCAAGAATGCCCCCTTTGTGCCAGCTCAATCTCTGGTGATCTGCGGGCCTCCCTGCGCTGAAAGCCCTGATTGTCGCTAGGAGCGTGGGGTTGGGCAGCCCACACTCCCGCCCCCACCCCTTCCCGCTGTGGGGCCTTTTGTGCTCCTGGATTTCAGCACAACAGCCGGGCTGTTGATCCAGAAGGCCCAGCGTGACCGGGAGAGGGCGATGTGCCAGCGTTACTCCCCGTGGGGATCGTCCCCGCCCGAGCCAGGAGGTGGGCCCTGTCGTTCAGCCCAGAGCCCTGAAGCGATGAAGAGTGGCCCACTGGGGAAATCAGGAGAGCTGATTTCCAGTCCTGGCCAGACCCCTAACCAGCCTGCTCTGTGCCCCAGGAGAGCCAGGCCCCCTCTCTGGGCCTCAGTTTCCTTACCCGTAACACGAGAGCTTAGATAGCAGAGAAGAGTGGAGAGCAGGCCTGGAGGACAAAGACTCAGCTCAGGCCTGTCTTTGGGCAGTGGAAAGGGCACCAGGCCGGGACCTGGGCCAGCCGAGTCCCAGCCCGGCGTGGCTGCTTCCCCAGACAGGGTCCCATCTCCTGGGGCCTGGGCTCTCTGATCTGTATAGGAAAGGGGGTGAATCACTCCTGCTCAGACATGGCAAAGGGACACAGGCATCAGATGGGCACCGGGATGCAAAGAGGTGTGGGCAGGGAGGTGGTGCAGGCGGGGTGGGGCTACTTGGGCTTGTGGGCTTTCTGTTCCAGTCCCGAGTTCTGGGAGCTCTTGGATTGGACTTTGAAGGGGTGGGGGGTTGTCTGTTTCTTTTGTAATGTCTCCATCTAAATAGACCATCGACTTTCTGAATGACAACATTCGAAGAGGAATCAAGAACTACTATGACGATCTGGACTTCAAAAACATCATGGACTTTGTTCAGAAGGAGGTGAGCCAGGCGCTCTGGGTCAGAGATGTGCCTGCCATGCCCTTTGCCTCCGGCTCAGGACCTTGCTCAAGAGGGCAAGGGTGGGGGCGAGAGAGCAGTGGCTTATCCATTCCCAAAGCTGGTGCTGGCCAAGCTGCGAGACAGTGACGGGGCCGTGGATGGGCACCAAGGGTGGGGGCCTGACCTTCTCAACCAGTCCTCTGCCCACATGCCTGGCCCAGAATGTCCTTACTCTCCCTCTCTTGAGTTACGTAGATATCCCCCCATCAAAAAAAAAAAAAAAAAAAAAAAAAAATCAGGTCAGCTATAGCTGCGAGCCTCCTTGCAGGGTCCCAGGGTGCCCTTCTCCAATCGGCAAAGGTCCTCCTTCCTTGAGGTGGGAGACAGACCTCCTAGCTGCCCAGTTCAGAGACCTTTCTGCCGAGTCCCTTCAGGGGCGGGGAGCTCACTCCTGGCAAATCAGGGACAGCCCTGAGGTAGAGAGCACTCTTCCCTGATTCCACTTCCCCCTGCACTGGGGAACAGAACACGACTTCTCCTTTTCCTCTGTAACTTCTTTGTTGTTGTTTTTTTTTAAGATTTTATTTGTTTATTTGACAGAGAGAGACACAGCGAGAGCAGGAACACAAGCAGGGGGAATGGGAGAGGGAGAAGCAGGCTTCCCGCGGAGCAGGGAGCCCGATGCGGGGCTCGATCCCAGGACTCTGGGATCATGACCTGAGCCGAAGGCAGATGCTTAACGACTGAGCCACCCAGACGCCCCTATAACCCTTCTTTGAATGCAATGATAATCTTTTGGGGATACTGCCCCTTCCCCCCAAGGTCCACCCACGTCTGCTGGCGTTATAATAAAAGCAGTGGCAGCCAGCACTGCCCTTGGTGGCTTCTGCACATCAGTCTCACTTAGTTCTGAGCCTCAGGTTCTCATCGGCAGCAGGGGAGTGTGGGTGGCCCCTTCCTCTTGCCTGTGGCGAGTACTGCCGCCATGTTCTCCTCGGCGAGACTCAGCCCTGGCAGCTTCCTGGGACACGGTCTAGGGGGCATCAGCGGGCCTGGTTCCCGGGGCTGGCCCTCAGCGAGAACCAGATCTCCCCGCGCCCACCGCCACCCGCGGTGGCCACTCCCTTGGCTCAGGCCTTCGCTGTAGTCACAACAGGTGCAGCCTCCGGGAGGCCCCTCTGCCAGGGGTGTGTCGGCCAGCTCCGGCCGTCGGGTGAAGTGTGATGTTTTTATTGGAACCAGCGTTCCCCTGGCTTGGGGGTTTCATTTCTCCCAGGCTGAGTGCTTCATGCACGGCCTGACTTTGTAATCCTCAGCTCAGCTGTGCAAAGCCAGCATGACTCTTCCTGCTTGGCACATGAGGATCTGAGGCCCAGAGAGGCTGGTCAACTTGCCCAAAGTCACACAGCTAGGAATGGTAGTATGAGGATTTGAACTCTAGTCTCTTGGACTCTTGAACTCAAAGCAAATGCCCTTTGAGCGGCACCCTGGGGAGGCACTGCCAGGTCCTGAGAGCTGACAGCCGGAAGGCCTCTGTGGGGACTCTGGAAGGGTGTCTGCTTTGTGTTTTTGCAGGGACCTCTGACCCTGTCAGTCCCCTAGTTAACCTTCCGGGCACTCGCCATCACTCCGAGTATGATCCCGCCCCCTACTTACTCTGGCTAACCAGGCTTTGCATGGTGTGGCCTAGGCCGGCCTCTGCACCTCGTCCCTCCCCTCTTGCTCGCCCTGCTCCGGACACACGGGCCTCCGTACCTGTGACCCACCTACACCTCACTCATCCTGCACGGGGCCTACGCACTGTTGACTGGCTTTTTCCTGCTGTTCATGTTTCAGATTAAATGTCATCTCTTCAGAGGGGCCTCTCCTGACCTCCCAACGTACAGCTGCCCCCTTCAACCCCCTTCTCCTCTTTTTCCACGCCCCTGGCACACAACGCCACCCCACTGACCTTCCCACGTAGTGGTGACTCCCTGTCTCCCCAACGGAGCCTGTCCCTGTCCCCTGCGGCTGTGTGGCTTTGGCTCATCCTTGTCACGCGGGTGTGAGCCACCCCGCCTGGCACACGTCAGCCCCTCAGGGGAATCACTACTTCCCTGGGCACCGGCACCAGTGTAGGGGGAGATGCGGGGAGCAGCTAAGCTAAGGGGAAAATGAGGCCGCCTTGCCACCCCTTGGGTCCTGAGCCCGTGGCAGGACGTGAGGTGTGTGTGCCCCGTGCTAAGGGCTGACAGGCAGAGCTGGGTGACTGTGGCTTAGGGGCCACTGGGCTGTGGGGGCGGCCCATAGAATCCTAGTCTCTGGGACCTTTAAGGGTCGAGCAGCTGCCCTGGGACGTGAAGATGGGGACGTCAAGGAAGGACTTTCCCTCCAGTATCTAGTCCCCCACACCTCCCCCAGCGGTAACCCTCCAAGAGGCTGCCCAGCCTTGGCTTGCACCCCTCTCCAGTGATGGGGTGCTCCCTACCTCCCAATAACCACAGCCTCCAGTGCCCCCCTCCCAGGTGACCCGATCAGAAACCACCAGGTCTCCCGGCGGGGCCCCTTCCTGGCGGGGCACTTGGGGCCTCGGCGGTGACGGCAGCCCCCTTCCCTGCTTGTTTTCCTCCCAGTTCAAGTGCTGTGGCGGGGAAGACTACCGGGATTGGAGCAAAAACCAGTATCACGACTGCAGTGCCCCCGGGCCGCTGGCCTGTGGGGTGCCCTACACCTGCTGCATCAGAAACACGGTACCCACCCCGGCCTGGCACCCGCCTCTCGTCTTTCAGGAAAGGGGGCGGGCAGGAGGTGGTGGTCATTGCCAAGGCGTCCCGGGTCTCCAGGGCCACCGGAAGGGGTACGTCTGGGGGTGGGGGGCGGGGAAGCTCGTCTCTGCTGGTAGTGGTCCTTACCAGCTATCGAACACTTGCCCCGTGCGGGCCTGTTCGAGGCTCTCTAGTTGCGGTAACTCATTTAGCTCTTTCCACAGCGCCGTGGGGTCGGTCCTGTTATTTTACCCACTGCACAGATGAAGAAGTTGGGGCACCAAAGCATTAGGTGCCTGCCTTGCCCAGGGTTGGCGGGGCTGGAATGAAATGCAGGCCGCCATCATGGGAACTGTGCTCTGGACTCCTACAGGGAGGCGCGGAGAGGGGTCCAGGCCAGGGGGGCCTCGTGGGGCGGCCGGCTCTGCAGCCTTCGCTGGGGGGCACCTGGGAACGGGTGTGGTGATGTAAATGCCAGCCACGGCCTCCCCCCGGCAGGACCCCCACTCAGTGCTGTCACCTCCATGGCCACTTGGGAGGCTCACCACTTACAAACTGGGGGCTTTGTCAGTCCTCTGTGTTTGACTAATGTGTCCAAAAAATGCTTGGTTTCTGGACTGGAATGAGGTGGTGCACTTGGCAATTACTCATACCCTGAATAGTCATGGAAAATTTCTTTTCGAACATCTCTACCATTCTGCGCCCACTCCTGGATTCTGTAAACCAAGCAGTTGTCGATGGGGGGGGGCTACCCCAAAAGTCAGGGAGCCAGTGCCAAGTGCACCAGCCTTAAAAAAGCCTGGGCCAGGAGGGAAGGTTTGTTTGGAAATTTTAGCTGCCATTTTAGGGTAGCTTTCTGGGAAGGGGGAGTGCTGGGGAAGAGCCCGGCGTTTTCAGAGAAGCCCGTGGGGGGTGATCCTGAACTTCATCACCCAAGGCAGTGGCACCTGAGTGTCCTAGGCAAGCCGTCCAGGTCAAGGCCTACATGTATTCATTCACTCAACAGATATTTGTTGAGGACCTACTATGTGCTAGATGTGATTTTGGGTTCTGGGGGGTACAGAAAACACACAGAGAACTCTCTGTCTGCGTGGAACTGACATTCTAGTCAGGAAGACTGACAAGATAGAAAGTGACAGATGCATATCGAAGGCAGTAAATGCTCAGGAGGAAAAGCAGGGGCGTGGAGGATTGCAACTTCAGGTACTTAGAAGGGAGGTTCTCAGTAAAACCCTGAAGGAAGTGAAGGGGTAGGCCATGTATATCTGGGGGATGGGCATTCCTGGCAAAGAGAACAGCAAGTGCAAAGGCCCTGAGGTAGGAATTGCCCTGGTGTGTTTGAGAAACAGCACAGAGACCAATGTGGCTGGAGCAGAGTGAGTGTGGGGGAGAATAGTAGCAGATTAAGTCAGGGAGGTCCCGGGTACCCTGAAGGCCATGGTCAGGACTTTGGTATTCCCATGAGTGACGAGGAGTCAAATGAAGGGCTTTGGTAGCTGACTGGCAGACCTGACTTAGGCTTTTCCAGGGTCACTCTAACTGCTGTGGCAGGGGGTGGGGGTGGCGGCAGAGGTGGACTTAAGGAGTCTGGTTAGGAGCTAGCGCAGCGGCCCATGTCAGGTCAGGCTGTCAGGGAAGCAGGCTCTGAGATTCTGGTTAGCGAGCAAGATCTGCAGGAGGAGTCAGCCAGCTGGGTATCCAGGACAGCCTGTGGTGTAGTTCCAGACTGGGTCCAACAGCCTGAGAACCAGGAGAATAATGGTGCCATTCCTGTCTGAAGGCTAGCAGGCTCAAAAGCCAGGAAGGGCCAGTGCTTCAGCTCAGGTCTGCAGTTAGGCGGGCAGGTAGAATTCCCTGTTCCTTGGGGGAGAGGCAGCCCTATTGTTCTAGTCAGGCCTTCAACTGATTGGATGAGGCCCAACCACAGTAGGGAGAGTAATCTGCCTTACTCAGTCTACTGATTTAAATGTTAATCTCATTGAAAGATACCCTCCCAGAAACACCCAGAATAATGTTTGATTGAGTATCTGGGCACCCCAAGGCCCAGCTAAGTTGACACATAAAATAATAACCACATGTGACAATCACCGCAAGGGACTGACAGCTAAGGCTCCTCCTGATTGTGCTCCCACGGTCGCAGGGCTTCTGGAAAGCTCCTCCCGGCGTCCACCACACCAGCTGGGAGAAGACAGAGGCTTAGTGGAGGTGGAAAAGCTTGGTCCGATTCTGGCTTTGTTTTCCATATAAGCCAACAGGATTTGCTGACAGATCAGATGTGGGAGATGAGGGAAAGAGAAATCAAGGAGGACTCCCAGGTTTTGGCCCGAGTCATAAGAAAAGACGGGGCTGCCATTGCCTGAGAGGGGAGGACAGCAGAGAGGCAAGTCTGCGGAGCCTGTGTGATTTTTCAGCAGGGAGGTCAAAGAGGCACTTGGATACAGGGGGCTGGAGTTTGGGGGAGAAGTCCAGGCCGGGAGTATAAACACGGATGCCCCCTGCAGAGAAGTGGACCGTGAAGTCGGCATCTGCATGGGAACACCGAGGTGGGTTATCTCTGGTCCCCCACTACAAAACCACCGTCGGTTCTCCTTGTGTCTCCCACCATGATTTTGTCTAAATAGAAAAGAGGGTGTTTCCTGCCTTCATAGAATCTGTGTATGAACTTGTGTATGAATCTATTTATTGTCACTATTTCATTTAGCCACAGATCTGAATGAACACACAGAAAATACATAGAAGAAAAAAAGGAAATTTTTAAAAATCAGAAACTAGAGCCTTGTGCTTGGTGCTTTAGAGCCTCCTGGCAGCCAGAGGAAAAGGGGAGACGTGGCCTGTTACACTGTGACCGTTCAACAGAAGAAGGCCAACCAGTGCCTCAGGGAAAGTCACTTTCCCCCCTTGCTCTCAGCTTTAAAGGGAATGTCTTCTACCCTGCCTCCTACAGAGGATTTGAAGGAACAGAGTTCATACAGGCTTGTGAAATTTGGTTACACTGATGTCCCCAAGATTTGTCAGTGGGGAGGGCAGTTTGCCGCTCCATTAAATGGCCTCCGAGAGCTGTGCCTGTTGAGCTCTTGTGTCCAATTTGTATAGTTCTCCACTCTCTCATTTTTGGCTACCCTTTGGGGGCCTATCCCTCCAGGCCTCTCTCTTCACCTTCCCACTCGCTTCTCAGACCTTATAACCCAGCTCATCAGTCCTGGGCCAGAGTGAGAGGAAGCACCCGTGAAGAACCCTTGTGAACTTTGCTGTGTCGTCTTTGGGCTGCTCAGGAGTCCCCTTCCTGACCTTGACCCTGTGCCAGATGGAAGAGACCGCAGAGCAACTCTTGGGGCCTGTGAACCTTCAGCAGAGCCTCTGGAGAATATCGGTTCTGTGGGCAAACCCAGACAGGATTTACCTTTGGAAAGACCACAGAGGCAGCCCAGAGCTCCTTGGAGGGGGCTCTCCTGGCAGGGGAGGCGAGTCCGGAGGAGGGGTCTGGGCCTGAGGGCAGGGCCCTGCCTCCAGGGCTGGAAGCACAGTGCCAAGTGGCTGTTCTTGTCACCTTCTCTACCATATCATTTACTTACTTACTGTGTTCATTGCGTGTCTCCCTTTCTAGAATATAAGTTCCACGAAGGCAAAGACTTTCCTTGGTTCTTCTACTTCCCCAACATCTGGGGCAGTGATTGGTACATAACGGGTGCCCAGTTAATATTTGTTCAGTGAATGAATGAAAGAACAGACATGTAGGGTAGAAAACACCGTTCCCCTCATTCTATCGTGCACCTGCTTCCCGGGCCTGACCCTCTCCATGAGGGTCGTGTGCACAGCCTAGAAGAGCCACAAAAGCTGAGCGACGTTAAGTGGATGCTAGATGGATTTGGGTCTGAGGGCACCTGGGGTACAGTCTAGACTGAGGAGGTTATTTTGCCCGCAAATCAGGTCCTGATATCTGAGAGGAGGCCTGAGGTGCAACCCAGTCTTGTGGAAGGAGAGCAGACAGCCTTCCTTGCCTTCCTGGGGCTGGGATCCTGTCCAAAGTCACTCCAGCCAGCGCCCCTGGGTTCTTCCATGTGTCCAGCCCCGAGATAAGCCCCTGATGGGTATATCTCACTTTATGTTCAAAACAGCCCCATGACATGGGGTCACTGAGCACCACTGCTTTATGGAAGAGACCGAGGAACCTATGCATTCATTCATTCATGCATGCATGCATTCAACAAATACTTTTCCAGGGCTCCCATGTTCCGTCCCATGACAGCACATCTAAGACTGGCCACAGAGCCCCTGGCGAGCAGAGCAGGATCCGGACCAGCCACGTGCTGCCAGAGGCTGTGCTGGGTGGCACCTGCGTGGCTGCCGGCACCCGGGGCCCCCTGGCCCCACACCGCGGCTTCCAGTCACATGGATGGGGCCAGGGCCTCTTGCTTCCTCTCACTTTGCAGGAGGAGGGGGAGACCGCCCGGGGGCGAGGGTGCAAGCCCCTGCCTGCCCTCTGACTTAGGTCTGCTGGGAAGGGATGGGATGGCGCCCGGGGCCGACCATGGCTCTCCCTGCGCCTGGGGGGATCGGCAGCCCAGAGCTCCTGAGAGCAGCTCCCTTCCCGGGCTGGCACTTGCGTCGCCCTTCGGCCGGGTGGATGGCAGTCTGCAGGGGCAGGGACGTGTGGTTGGAGGTCCCGGCCCGGTCCTCAGGTAAAGTGCAGCTGGCCAGGGCCTGGCTGTGGTCTGGGGTTTTCCGTGGTCAGAGCAAGCGGAGACCGACCTCCGAGACCGTCCACCCTGTCAGCAGAGCTGTGGCCCTGGGGCGGCTGCGGCAGGGGAGCCCGGGAAGGCACGCTTTTCTGGGGGCTCCTGGGCTGCTGCTGGTGGAGGGCTCCTCCCACCCAAACCTCACAGAACCAGCCTTCCCGTCGGTCCTCCTGGGCACTTCTTGGGTGGGGTGGGGGAGGGAGGGAGGTTAAGATGCAGACCCCAGCCAGACTGCCCGGGTGGGAGTCTCAGCTCCATCCATATGGACGGTGCTACTCTGTGCCTCAATGCTTCAGTCAGGGAAAAGGGGAGAATAACAGTCCTTCATGGTAAGCGCGATGGACGTGACAGCTAACACACATTTCTGTTTCAGACGGAAGTGGTCAACACCATGTGTGGCTACAGAACCATTGACAAGGAGGTAATGCTTTTGCAATCTTTTTCCTTGAGAAAGGTTGCTCTTCCTGTCCCATCCCCAGAGTGATGGGAAGGGTTCCTGGCGGCAGGGGTGGGTGGGGGCGGGGTGGGCTCCTGGCTTGGAACAGGAGTCGGGGACTGCCAGGGTTTTCCACCTGTGCCCAGACACAGAAGGACTCAGGGAGCCAAGAACCCCCCAGGCCGGGAGAGCCTGCCTGCTTGTGTTTGCTGAGCACCTACTGTGGGCTTGTCCGTGGGAGGCCACCGAGCCCTTGCCCTTACCCCCCACGCCCGCATGCCCGTGTGCCCAGCCATGCCCAGCAACAGCCTGCCTTGCAACTCCGCTGGGCTAAGAGTGACACTGGGGTGGTGCTGAGAAGGGAGCCAAAAATCATGACAACTTGAGATGCCTGTGAGTGGTGGTTCTCAAAGTGAGGTCCCTGGACCAGTAGGGACAGCAGCCCCGGGAACTTGTTAGAAACGCACATTTAGAAACGCAGGTGCTTCTGACACACATTTCAGTTGGAGAGCGATGGACTAGCAGAGGTTCTCAAGCCATCAGACCCAATAGCCAGGTTTTATAATAATCATCTGACAATGGCCTAGCTAGTACGTCAAAATGAAATTCACAGATAACATAATCTACCTACACGCCTAATTTCAGAACAAGTGCCGGATCTGAGATAATAGGAGAACTAGAACAATTTACAATCAGATAGCATATTTCACATGCAAATGCTCAGGCATTAGATACAACAGGAGACACAACAAAGCAGTCAGGTGTTTGCCCCCCGGGGCAGCTGACACGTGGGGTGGGGGGTAGCTGTGCTGGCGACGTGAATCCCGTGGGCATTATTTTTGCTGTGGACGTGGTCTTTAAAAATGGTGGACAATTCTTGATAAAATTCCAAACAAAATACAATATAATCATTCTGGAATTTACATCTTTAATTTAGTAGTATTTCTGCAAAATTACATACAGTATATATATGTGTGCGTGTGTGCGCGCTGTGTATCTGCACATAGCAAAACCACACAGAAAATATTTTGGTGGGTTTTTTTTGTTTTTTTTAAAAGATTTTATTTATTTGACAGAGAGAGACACAGCGAGAGAGGGAACACAAGCAGGGGGAGTGGGAGAGGGAGAAGCAGGCTTCCCGCTGAGCAGGGAGCCCAATGCGGGACTCGATCCCAGGACCCCGGGATCATGACCTGAGCCGAAGGCAGACGCTCAACGACTGAGCCACCCAGGCGCCCCAACATTTTGGTTTTTATGAGTCCCGGGAGTTGGCCTTTTGGCTCAGGTGATTCTGGCTGGGTTTTCAGCCGTCTAGATGCCCCGGGGGACTTCTGAGAGGCAGGTAGACAGGGTAGTTGTTTGTGGAGTAGGATTGCCCTTAGCTCTGCAGCCCCTCAGTCCCCAAACCCCACTGCCGTGACAACCAGAAGTGCCACAACAATGTCCTCAGTGCTCTCTAGGGAACAGTACTGCCCACAGAGACCCAAGGTCTAGAGCCACCTGCTCTGATTGTATGTGAGAAACTGAGGCTCAGAGAGGATGAGGACTTGCCTGGACCTCGAGTGAGCAGCAGAGTTGGGGCTGGGGCTCTGCCAGGCGAGGGGTCAGCCAGGCTCCTCCCTGTGCAGCGCCTCAGCGTGCAGGATGTCATCTATGTGCGGGGCTGCACCAACGCTGTGCTCATCTGGTTCACGGACAACTACACCATCATGGCGGGCCTCCTGCTGGGCATCCTGCTCCCCCAGGTGGGCTGTCCCCCACCCCCAGCCCCGGCCCCGTCTCCCAGGGAAGGGAGCTGGAAGTGGAATGGTGGGCAAGGTGTCGGTTCAGAGAGTGTGGCTTGGTGATTACAGAGGGCAGAAAAGGTACAAAAGGGGTGGGGTGAAGAAGGCTCTCGTACCATCAATCTGGGCTCACCCTTGGAGGGCTGGAGGGCCGGAAGGAGAGGGCAAATGGCAAGAACCTTGCTTATAAAGTTCCTCCAAGTTCTTCACAGGCACAGCCGTCTGCAATCCTGTGAGGTAGATACTATTATCATGCCCATTTTACAGAGGAGGAAACTGAGGCTTGGCAAGGTTAAGTGACTTGCCCGAGGTCCCCTCGATAGTGAGCGGCATGGCTGGGCTGGAGACAGGAGTCCCAGAATGGAGGGTCCTCTGCTGATGGGGCACAGAGAGGGTCTCTGGGATTTCCTGAGGGGTAGTGAAGGGCCCGGGCTGGGGGCTGCCAGAGAGAGCCACCCAGATCCCCAGCAGGCTCTCACCCACCCTGCCCTTGCTCCTCAGTTCCTGGGGGTGCTGCTGACATTCCTGTACATCACCCGGGTGGAGGACATCATCATGGAGCACTCTGTCACTGATGGACTCTTGGGGCCCGGCGCCAAGCCCAGCGTGGAGGCGGCAGGCACAGGATGCTGCATGTGCTACCCCAATTAGCGCCCCCGTCTGGACCGTGCCGGGAGCGCACCGCTCAGACCACAGCACGGGGGGCTGGACAGGACTGTGGATCCTCTCCCCCACTTGGCACTGACCAAAACCCTGGCTGTGTTTGCTCCGGTGGCCTGTTCAGGCCTCCCTCGGCCACCGTCCCTCTGGGGAGCGGAGCCCTTCCCCAGCTCTGGGGTCCTGTGCCTGCCCACCCTCCTCAGCGTGGGGAACAAGGGCGCCCCTTCTCCAGGCCCGGGCCGCCGCGGAAGGGGGTGCTCAGCGCTCAGCTCAGGGCCCGTTTCATTTCTGGCAATGCCATGGCCTGTGGTGTTTATGCCCCTTTGAGGACAATTTTGTAGTAATTCGTAAGCGAGGACGGAGGAGACCGTGTGTGCCGTGTGGGGGCGGGGATGTGGCCCCCAGGGCCCCGGAGTCCCTCAGCCACGCCCCAGAGGCCAGATTGGGCTCATATCACAGCCTCAAGGGACCTTGAGCCTTCCCCAAGGCTGCTGCTTTGCTGACCCCATTTTCTACGTGATTTTGTAACATTCATTTTGTACACAGTTAACAGGAGTTTCTGACTAATCAAAGCTGGGTGTTTCCCCACACACCCCACTCTTGCCTTTCCAAGCCAGGTTATTAATCAAACAATAAAGATGTGATTTTTTTTTTTTTTACATTATGTATGTGTGTGTGTGTGTGTGTTTCATTTGTGCTCTTTGGGTCAGGAGGGGCTGGGGAAGTCCGCTGCTTGGGCCGGGAAGCCCCTGATTGGTGCAAGGATTGAAGGGGGCTCCCTGGGGCCAAGATCTGGGATGGCTTGGGACCCTGCGGCCCAGGAGGATGGGCAGCTGGCGGAGGCTGCCCGCTCCGGGTTTGGAATGGCCTCTCCCATTCTTTGGTGTTGCTTTTGACAGAAATGGCTTTTCCCAGTTGTGCTTGTGGGCTGGGCCTGGAGCCTCCCCTGCCTGTCCTTGCTGCTAGGGATTCACCTGTGGGAAATCTCTGGAGGAAGCAGAGATGGCCACACCTATTTTACACACTGGGAAACTGAGGCAAAGCCACCAATGGCAAGAGGCTCCTCCTCCAGAAAGTGAGGCAGATGGGAACTAGGAAAGTCAGGGGGCTGGGAAGGAGCTGTGCCCACAAACTCACCTGCAGCTTTGGAACCTGAGAGGCTCTATCTTCCAACACTAACAGCGGGTGTTCCTGGTTCTGGGGACGGGGAGGAAGAATGCTCAACGCCCAGCAAAGGTTGGTGCCCATCGCCCCCTGCTGGAGAGGGCAGGACCTGCATGGGTCAGCCCACCCAAGCCTTCCTGCCCCAAGACTTGGGTTCCAGATTTCTGATGAGGTTCTGAGTAGTCAGAGCAATAGAAATAAACAGCACGAGCCCCCAGACCTGAAGAACCTAGTCTGAGGGTGTTAGGGAGCTGCCCATCACATCTAGAAGCTAAGTGGTCGGATGCTTGGTCGGCGGTGTGTAGGGGCCTGAGTTGTCTGATGGGCGTGGGAAAGGGCAGGAGAGGGGTTTGTCAAAGCACAGACTAATGTATCAACAGCAAACACATCCGAGAGCGACCTCTGTGTCGGGAGCTCGTGTAAACATCTCACAGCTACCAGCTCCTTTAAGTCTCACAACCGTGTGGGGTATCACTCTTGTTATGTCCGTTTTATTGATGGAGAGACTGAGGCATGTTAAGTGACTTGCCCAAAGCACCTGGCTGGCAGGTGACAAAGCCACGATAGGAACCCAGGTGGAATCTCCCCAGTCCCTCTGTCGCCTGGTGTGGACACAGGCAGGCTACTGGGCGTGCAAAGCCCCGATGGCGGCTACTGCAGATGTCCCTGTGCATGGAGTGGCCACTGTGGCTGCTGCTGGGAACTCGGCCTGGACCCCGTTTCGACCTGTGCACGCAAGGCCAGGTGGCACTCTGTGTCTGGCCGGTGGCCTCCTGGCTGGCTGGCTCTAGCTAATTCTCTGGGGATTCTCTCTGGGTGCAGAGTGGGGGGCAGCTGCTTTGGGGGCAGCAAGATGGCAGAAGCACGGAACAGCTTTGGGACGGCACTGAGTGTGTTTATCCGAAGTCATATGATCCTGTAACCTGAACGCCTCTGGTCACCTTGTCCTCCCTCTTTCCGCCACCTTGTGCAGACACCCCTCTACCCGACACTGCTGCTGACATGGGGCAGGGGTCATGGGTGGGTGGTCACAGATGGCTGAGCTCCAGCCGACATTTTGCTCTTTTTCTTCCACACCTCAGCCACTCACCTCTCTAGAAAGCAAAACGGGACACACGGAGAGGACTCTTTCAGTCCCATGGTTGGGATGCTTCTCCTATTGCACTCTTGGTGCCAACAACATCCTCCTGACCGCTCATCTCACAAGAATGGAAGACTGAACTTCAAGACGAATCCTTTTCCCTCACCACAGTGCATACAGAAAATGGACCACAGTAGTCGTGGAACTGAAGATGTGTAGGCTTTAATTTTGGACTTTTTTGTTGTTATATAATTATAAGAAAAACAAAACAATCAAATGCCTTCAGGAAGGCTGGCTTTGAATAAAAATTCCAACGACAATATCCCCCAAACTTATTTTTTTAAGTTTATTGAGGTGTACTCAACATAAAATAAACTGCACGTGTTTAAAGTGACAAACATATCATCAAAGAAACCATCATCACAATCAAGATAATGAACATTAAAAAATTTCCTCTTGCCCCTTGGGAATCCCTCTTTACAGCCCTCCCCACCACGCCTCTGAGGCAATCATGGGTCTGCTTTCCGTTTCTATACATTCTTTTGTATATGTTAACATTTTATATCAGTGGATTTATACAGTGTGTACTTTTCTTTGTATTGGCCTTCTTTCACTCAGCATGATTATTCTGAGGTTTGCTCATTTTGTCACATAGATCAGTGGTACATTCCTTTTTATCGCTCAGCAATATTCCATTGAATGGACGTGCCATAGTTTATTTATCCATCTACCTATTGATGGGCATTTGTGTTGCTTTCAGGTTTTTGTTGCTGTTATTACAAATAAAGCTGCTATGAACATTCGGGTACATGTCTTCATATAGACACACACTTTCATTTCTCCTGGGTAAATATCTGGGAGTGGAATAGCCGGATCATATGGTAAGTGTATTGTTTAGCTTTATAAAAAAACTGACGAAGTATTTTCCCAAGTGGTTGCATGATTTTATACCTCCACCAGCTGTGTGGAGTCCCCAGTTCCTCCATGTCCTGGCCAATATTTGTTGTGTGTGGTGATACCTCACGGTAGTTTTAGTTCACATTTCCTCAATAATTAATAATGCTGACTATCTTTTCATGGGCATATTCACCATCCACTAACTTCTTTGAAGTATCTGTTCAAATCTTTCTTTAAAAATTGTATTGTTTGTTTTCTTATTGAGGTCTGAGAATTCTTTCTATATTCTAGATACAAGTTCTTTAGCAGGTAGATGATTTGCAAGTATTTTCTCCCCATCTATGGCTTATCTTTACATTCTCTGAACAGTGTTTTTCAAAAAACAGAAGTTTTCAACTTGATGAAATCCGATTTATCAATTTTTTTTTCTTCTGTGCATTGTGTTTTTGGTGTCACATCTAAGAAATCTTTGCCAAACCCAGGGTCACAAAGGTTTCTTTTATATTTTCTTTTAGAGGTTTTATAATGGCCCATTTAAGGCCATTTAGGTCAATGGCCCATTTTGAGTTAATTTTTTTATGTGGTGTGAAGTATGGATCAAAATTCATTTATTTGGTAGAAGAATATCCAGTTGCTCCAGCACCATGTGTTGAGAGACAGTCCTTTCTCCCCCAACTTGCCTTTGCACCTTTGCTGAAAGTCAGTTGTCCACATATGTGTGAGTTTGTTCTGGATTCTCTACTCTGTTTCATTCATTGCTGAATAGAAAGTGTGAGAATAGATGTCCTTGTCTCCATCTTACGGAGAAAATATTCAGTCTTTCATCATTAAATATAATGTTAGATGTGAGTTTTTCATGGATGTCCTTTATCAGGTTGAGGAAGCTCTGTTGTATTTCTAGTTTACTGAGAATTTCTTTTTATCAAGAATGAATGTTGGAGTTTGTTAAATGCTTTTTCTGCTCTTTTAAAATTTCTTAACATGGTGAATTACATTAATTGATTTTCAAATGTTAAATCAACCTTGCATTCCTCAAATAAGCTCCACTCACTTTTTAACTGTTGGGTTTGATTTGCTAACATTTTGTTTAGGATTTTTGCACCAATGTTCAGGAGGGATGTTGGGCTGTAATTTTCTTGTAATGTCTTTGCCTGGTTTTGGTATCAAAGGAATGCTGGTTTCATAGAATTTGTCGGGAAGTATTCTTTCCTTTTCAATTTTCTGGGAGAGTTCGTGTGGAGTTGGTGTTATTTCTTCCTTAAAAGTTTGATAGGATTCACCAGTGAAGCTACTTGGACTTGGAGCTTTCTTTGTAGGAAGATTTTACACAATAATTCCAATTTCTTGGGGTGCTTGGCTGGCTTAGTCTGTGGAGCATGCAACTCTTGATCTTGGGGTTGTAAGTTTGAGCCCCATGTTGGGTGTAGAGATTACTTAAAAATGAAATCTTTAAAAAATAATAATTTCCATTTCTTTAACGGATATCAGGGTATTTAGGTTCTTTTCTTTTCTTTCTTTCTTTCTTTCTTTCTTTCTTTCTTTCTTTCTTCCTTCCTTCCTTCCTTCCTTTCTTTCTTTTTGGAGAGCTTGGCAGTTTAGTCCTTCAAGAAGTTTGTCCATTTCATCTAGGATATCAAAATCATTGGCATAAAATTTTTCAGCACTTTCCCTTATTATCCTTTTAATATCTGCAGAATACGTACTTATCACATTTTTCTTATTCCTGATGTTGGTAATTTGTCCTTTCTCTCTTTTCTGTAATGAGTCTGGCCAGGGATCTATCAATTATATTGATCTTCTCAAAGAACCAGCTGGATCATTCTCATGAGTGCATAGACAAGCTATGCTTCCTATCTGGAAACAAACAAGCAAACCCCTTGATCTCAATTTCCCTATAGCCACTCCTCGATTTCTGGCCTTCCTTCCACCACAACCACTTGGAATTCCGAGTGTCCATACTCTGATTCCTTGCCTCTCATTCACTCTTTTTTTTCAGATTCACTTATTAATTTCTTCATTCTATTAATAACTTTACTTTCCAACTGTATTCAAGTATAATTGATAAATAAAATTCTAATATGTTTAAAGTGTACAATGTGATGACTTGATATATACTATGAAAGGATCTCCACCATTGAGTTAATTAACACAGCCATCACCTCATTTACTTATCTTTTTTTAAAAAATTGAGATATAACTGACATATAACATTATAATAGCATTATATTCCATATGTATAGCAATACTTAACATTATTTTCAGAGGTACAAGATGATTCACTATTTGTATGTATTGCAAAATGATCAACTCAATAAATCTAGTTAACATCTATCACAACACGTAGTTACATTTTTTCTTGTAATGAGAACTTTTAAGATCTACTCTCTTAGCACCTTTCAAATATGCAATACAGTATTATTAACTATAGTCCCAGTGCCATACAGTACATTGCCCAGGACTTATTTATTTTAACTAGAGTTTGTACCTTTTGACTCCCTTCACTCCTTTTGCCCACTC